CCATTACTGGTGAAGATGTTGTACCCTTCTTGACCAATAGCTGGCTTTTGATGAGATCTCCATATATTCTGGGTCTTGCCAACCAGTTTAGGGAAAAAAAAAAGCTTGCTGCCAAGACTACTCATCCCCAGAAGCTGTGTGGTCTGACCACATCTCCCAGTTTCCTGAGGGTGTGCTGCGTGGGAGAGAGTCCAAATCGTGCAGTGATTGCACATGGCGCTGCCACTTCTTGCCACTCCACCACACAGGCCTTGTGGTTGAATATCTTCTCTCTTGTTTGCTAAAGGTATTTACAAAGTGTTCCTAGATACCTCAGAAGCAGGGTGAGGGGGAATTTCCCATTCATCAGGATGTATGTGGTGCCTACTACATCTGCCATAACAAGGCAGGATTATATGACTGTTCTTTACACTGATTCTTGCAGGGCCCACCTGACTCCTGAACTTTCCAGACTGTCCCTAGTATTTCTTCAATTTAAAGAGTTCCTATTAGAAATAATTTCCCAGTGACAGCCTTTCCCCAACCCCTCAATGCGTCTACAAGTGCCAAGTAGAATTCCTACTCCAGTTCAAAGGAGCTGGATTTCTTTTTATTGGTATAATTTGATGCTGCTACCACTTGGAAGGCAGAAGGCTGGCTGAAATGTCCTATCAAGGGTCTGCCAATAAACCAGAGACCCAAAATTCTGCCTGGGTACTCACACAGGCATGTGGGTCTTTGTCAAATGAAGTGGTGGAAGAAATTAGACAGCTGCAAATTCACATCAGATACATAACCCACAGCACAAATACCATATGTCCTCACACTCCTGCCTGTCAAATCCATCTTTACCTCGATCTGTTAAGTAGAAAAGGCTGATGATAATTTTGCCAACCTAAAGACTTTCTGAGCATAAGGAAGGCATATCTGTTGATAACAGAAAAATAAACCATGACCACCAAGAAGGCATGGCTGGTAGGGGGCAGCTGGCCCTGCAGCCCAGTGGTGACTCTCACAATGACACCACCATGATTCTCCACCCCTGCTCTTTTGCAGACATCACTGGGCAGGGAGGGGAATCTGCTTGATGTCAAGAAAACCATTTTTCTTAAGGCCAGAAGACCTGCCTTGGTCTAGAAAGATCAATACAGACAAACCAAGCACACAAGAAGACATGGGGACACAAGGCAGCACAAGAGAACAGGAAGTAGACACTTCCAGTGGTACCAGGGGTTGAGAGAGAGCCCATTCCCACACTGAAAGCCTTCTCAGGACTTCGAGGAGGCACAGAACTACATGTGCTCCCAGTGTATTAGATGCAGCCTGCAGGAGCTGCAGCCCTGGGCTCCCTGAAAGAGTTTGTGCCGAGCCTACAAAACAGGCATCATGAAAGCAGCAGGGGCTTAGTGGGGGCTCCTCTCTCCTTTTCAAACACAGTATCTCAAGATGAAGACTGTAGTGAGTTGATAAATGCGATGAATGATGAGGATGAGGAAGTATGTCATGGTGTGCCTTGAGATGGAAGGGGAAAGGACTTTGGGGGACTTTTGGCTCTCTTACCAGGCTTGTTTATCTATCACCTTCACACACAAAGAAATTCCTTGCTTAGTCAGTGTTCTGGATGCTGCCACTTAGCTAGCTCCCCCCACACATGGACGAGCAGAGATGATAGGAAATGGCAACCCTGTAAAAGGGCCAGAATATTTGGATTCTTTCCAAGTCAAGGGGAAAAAAATTGAACCTGTACTTGAGGGCTCACTGTCATCTGAAGGAGCCCTCTTCCCCTCACCTGCTCAAGGCTGACACATCATTAGCTTGGGAGTTGATAGCATTGGGAGTTCAGGGAACTAGAAGTGAGAAGGGCAGAGGGCAGTTCTGAGCTGGTGGCTTTCTGTGGCTGCACTGAGTCCTGGGACAGGTGCAGGTGACTGCATGTAGGGATGTGGGGGAGGGGGATCAGATCTCTCTTTTCTAAAGAAAACAGTGCTTGGGGGCAGTTGTCCATTACTGTGTGGTGCCATCTTGTGCCCATTCGTGTCCTTTGTTCATCACTTTAGGGTCTTGGGCCAGTATTAATGAAGAAAGGTCTGGTTAGAATTTGTGCCAGGTGAGGGTAAGGATGGCAAAATTGTGACACTCTGTCCCTTTCTGAGGACATTTCTGGTCCCTCTCACTATCTCACTGCCTCCATTTCTGCCTTTCTTCACCTCCCCTTCTCAGTCCCCAAAGACAGGTCCACATCCTTTACTGGAGAGAACTGCAATCCAGGCAAAAGTACCAGGGACAGCTCCCACGTGCAAAGTACTGTTTCCTTTAGCATGCAAATCCCTTTTGGAATCCTGCTGGAGAGATTTTACCCCTTCTCTTAATTCTGCTGACACAGGGGCCTGCTCACCTAACATCCAGGATATCTGCTTAGTGGCTAGCTCCTTTCTAAGTTCAGGAGGGCTGTAGAATTCTCCATCAGGTTCTCTCGACCAGCATTTGCCATTCTTCAGTCCACAGGACTGCCCATCACTTTCCTTCCTGTTTCTGGTGGATTCCATCTCTATATCCTGCCTGTGGGTCCAGATACCAAATGTATAACATAAAAGTTACCATCTTAACTTCTAGCATTCTTTTCATCTTGCAAAACCGAAATTCTACACCAAGTTCATCAGGGTTCCCCCCCCCACACACACTGTTCTGCTTTCTATCTACATGACTACAGCTATTGTAGGTACCTCATGTAAGTCTTTTTGTCACTAGCTTGTTTTATTCAGTACACTGTCCTCAAGGTCCAGCCATGTGTCAGAATTTCCTTCCTATGGAAAGCTAAATATTAAATGTCCATGTATGGTTTGCTTCCACCCTGTGGCTGTCACTGCTATGAACAAGAATATAAATCATCCCTTCAAGACCCTCATTTCTAAACCAGCAGGGGTAGGTGTAAAACACCTGTAATTTCAGCACTTGGGAAGTGAGGCAGGACAATCAGGAGTTCAAGTCTAGTTTTAACTACATAGCAAGTTCAAGGCCAGCCTGGGCTACTTGAGACAATGTCTCAAAGGGAGAGAAAAAAAAACCCTGTTTATTGTAACCTGTACTTTTTAAAACTGAATGAAGAAATGAATTGAGAATTATATTTCATACCATCACATAGTTTGCCCTTTTTGTCATTGTATCTTTTTATACTCTTTGTCTATTTTCTGCTTCTATGCTAAAATACCCCAAACTGGGTGGTTTATAATGAAAAGAACTTTATATCACACAGTGAGAAGGTTAGGAGGTCCAATATCAACATGCTGTTATCTGTTGAGAATCTTCTTCCTGAGGCACAGCATGGCAGAGAGCATCACCTGATGAGGATCAGGATGACTGATAGCTTAGATCTCTTTCCTTTTACTATAAAGCCACTAGCCCCATTGTAGAGCCCGACCTACATGACTTCATCTAATTCTAATTACTTCCCCACCCCACCCCCACACACAAGCTCGAGCTTCCAAACATCAGCATGTCATCTGGAGGTTGAAGTTTCTAACACAGGAATGTTGAGGGATGCTAATTTCACCAGGGAGTGTCTAAATAGCTTCGAAGCAAGCACCCACCCGAGAGTTTCTGGAGCTGTTCTTCAGCAAGAAGCATGTGAGTGCTTAGAGAATCACCACTAAATTGATAAGAATAATAGGTTAGCCCAGTCTCAATGACTACAGCACTGATCTCGGGCACCATGCATTACTAAAACCACTATTCCCATCTCCCTGCTCATGGGCTTCAAGTCCCAAACCACCTTCTGCTGGTCAAGAAGACACATGGCCCAAGGGGAAAGTCTAAAATGCCCAGCCCCAGTCTGTTCCAATGCAGTATGTCCACTGGCAAAGACCTACAGCTAACGTCTGTGATCTTGTTTCAAAATCGGAATGGTGGCAGAGGACAACAAGTTGCTAAAATAATTTCATGAACAACTTGATCAAAGAAAAGATCTGTAAGCATGTCTTAGAGAACTGAGAGCCAGCCATGTGGACAGATAGGATTCCTCCCTGTCAAAAACAGCTTCTTTCGTGCCCTACCTTGTCTGCAGACATGTGAGAGCCATATTCTCCATCATTTGTCATTCAAACAGCTAAGCAACTCCACTCTCTCTGCTCAAAGATGATTGGGGAACTGAAGTGTTAGCTGTCTACCCTCCTGCCAGGAGAAAAGGGAATCTGGTTCAGAGACCAAAGCAAAACTTATTCAGTCTCATCTTTCAAGAACCTGAGATGCGTTCTTCCACAGCCCCCCAGACACAGGGTCCTCCTGCATTAAAGAGCAGCTGAAACCAAATGCACACCATTACTGGAGAGCTAACAGGGGAGTGGGGGTGAAGGTGACAGGTTCTGAAGAGTTCTCTTGCCTTCTTAAAATTCATTCTCTTCACCTGCCAGTCTGGAGAATTACCTATTTACATAACTAGCTGCCAAAAATGGAATATTGGATAATGGTACATGACAGCTCACTCAATTTGAGCCCATCCTTAGGATATGAGCATGATCCAGAAGCCCTCCAACAGCATGGCATGCCCCACACTGGCCTGCAGCTATGCTCCATGTGGTGTGAGCCTGACAGCTAAGTAGATGTCAAACCTGGATGGGAGAATGGGGAGCGGACCCAATTCCATGGTGGCAGATTGTCTGCAGGGCACAGGCAGCCTATCCTCCTGGGCTTCACAGTCATGGCCTTGTTTAGCCCAAGGGGATGTCATAGAGGACCACATGTAGGGCCCAGGAAGTGGGGGAATCAGAGGATCCATGGGACAGTTGGCCTGGGGGGTAATGAGTGTGCTCTTATCCCAAGCACTGTGCCAACCCCCACTCCTGTTGGTCCTTTCCACAACACAAATCTCCCTCCCATCAAAACGGGAACCATGCTGCTGGCTTACAGGAGGAGTATAAATAAGTGATAAGGAAGTGTGTTCTGATAACGATGAACGGGTGTAGTTCCTCAGTGGACCAGATGTATCAAAGACGGCAGCTGTGCATGTGTGTTCCTTTATTTTTCAGCGTTCCAGTTCCTGTAGTCAGTTTAGAGAAAATTCCTAACCTAGTGAAGGCAGATGGTGCCAATGTCAAAATGAGCTCTACAACCACTACCACAACCACTTCCTCCTCCTCTGCTGTCTCCACCCCACCTTTAATTAAGCCCACCTTGATATCCAAGTCAGTGCCACCTTCACCAGAGAAGATCTTAAATGGCAAGGGGATTCTGTCAGCCACCATAGACAAGAAGCACCAAAATGGCACCAAAACCAGCAACAAGCCTTACCGGAGACTTTCAGGTATGTGTCATTGTGGTTAGAGTCTGGCTCATGATAAGACTAAAACTGAGTTCCATCTGTAACCCATGATGTGTTTGCAGAGTCAAAGAGCTGTTTCATTAAGGGTGACATGGAGTGTATCTGGGCCAGCATCAAAAAGTACGAGAGGACTGGCGCTCTCATTCCCCAATGCAAATATGATCCCTGGCCAAGTTTCAAATTTGGCTGAAGTTATCCTGCAAGTTCAGGAAATGGGAGGCTCTGCGTCAACCAACAGTCATAGACTCTGAGGGTCTTGTTAGCCTAGTGGCCCAGTACAGACACACCATACTGACATGGCTCCCCCTGAAGCTTTGCTTCTGTGAAGCTGGACTGTCTCTGGGAGGCCTCATAGCCCATGGCATGCTGGGTGGAACAGCCCGATCAGTGACTGTGCTGCATTGAGGATTGTAACCTCTGCTCTTTGGCCTCCTGGTTTCTGGGTTGATTCTGCAGTTGGAGCTGCAGCAGCCTCTCCCCCTGTAGTCCCATTGGGACTCACAGAGCAGCATAGCAGATGGGGTTGTTGGGAACCTCTCAGAGGTGACCATTGCCACTTTTTTTTTTTTTTTGGTTTTTCAAGACAGGGTTTCTCTGTGGCTTTGGAGGCTATCCTGGAACTAGCTCTTGTAGACCAGGCTGGTCTCGAACTCACAGAGATCCGCCTGCCTCTACCTCCCGAGTGCTGGGATTAAAGGCATGCGCCACCACTGCCTGAAAACCATTGCCACTTTAAAGCATGGCGTTTGTTTTGGATCTGTTGTAGAACTAAATCTGACTTGTTCTGCTGTCTCCAAATGACTAGAAGAAGCTGTGTAATTTATAGTTTTGCATATGCCATGGTCTCTCTCTAAAACAATACACAGGGAAAGCTGCCCTTGAGACTGTCACATGCAGGTGTAGTTTTTAAGTACCCAAGCAGGTGTAATTTTAAAATTCTACTGCATATTTAATTGCATTTTCTATCTTATATCTGTATTTTAAAATTGTTTTTTTAAAAGTACTTGGTCCTACCCAAAAACATTCAGATGAAACAACTCTGCACCTCTCTCCATGTCCACAGCCAAGATAAAGGGAGAGCATCATAGGGCTTCATTGTATAGACTGAGTCCTCCATTGCTCTCTCTTCCCAAATGGAATGTGTCTGCTAACTTGGCAGAGGTGGGTGGCAAGATCCCAGTGTGTGTGTGTGTGTGTGTGTGTGTAATGTCCAGAGGCTATGGGTACCTTATCTCTGCAATAACACTACCTTGGCTTCTTCCAGCCTGTGCCCCTATCTGAAGTGAGGAGAATTTTGTGTTTTGTGGGTTGTCTTGTCTCATTGGGTCCTTTGCTTGTTTCTTTCCTCTCTCACACATTCAACAGCCAACTCCTATCCCTAGCCAAAACCCCGTTCAGTTCCAACATGAGGTGTTGATGTGAGTTTGGGCACAGGCCTGACTGGCAGACCAAAGTGAAAGACCTCCACAGCAGGCAGCCTGACACCTGGCACCAGCTCACTCACTGCCTGCTAGACAGAGCTCTCTGTGTAGAAAGGGAGGGAGACATTTTGAGGGCCCTGGGGGGCGAGAACAGTTTGTGCACAGCATCAGAGCTCCTGATTGCAGCCCCTTGCTGACTCCCAGACCTTTGAAAATAGAACATTTGCTTATTATGCTCCAAGTTTACACCAGCAATTTCGGACAGTTTTTGGCTAAGGAACTCTCTTCAGTTTGCAGCCATCAAGGCCCTCACAGACACCTCACATTTCTAGAGACCTGACACCTCCTTAATCACCCCCTCTCCACCAGTGATCTGCTAGTTATCACCCTTCACACCCAGAGAGCTGTGGCATTCCTGCTCCCCAGATTGCTGGTGCCTTCCAGAAACAGCACAGATTTTCCTAAAGCCTAAGGGTTCTGGAAAGGTAGCCACATATCCCCACACTTTGCAGGTGTGGTAAGCATTTTTGTAATTCTCAAAGAGATGAAGGATCACAAGAGGCATCAAAAGAACAGTTAGCAGTACCTTCCATGGAAACCAGCAACTGTTTAGACAGAAAGCAGGACATAAGGAAAGCACTCTCTCCCCACACAGTCACCCTTCTTCCCTCAGTCCAGTGTGTTCTGTCTCACCTGTGTAGTGCCTGGTCCAGGGCTATAGACAGTGTACACTATGAGGTTAGCAGAGATCAGCCCTCCAAGGCACACTTCCACACTTTCTCCCGCCCCTGTCTGTGGCACTGCCTGAATGTTCTTCGTTTAGGACATTACTGATCTTGGCCATGTGGAAAGCCTTTACCAAGGGCTTTGTAAAGCACATGAGAGACCATCTTGACATGTCAGTGAGCAAGCTTCCACTTAAATGGATAAACCAGAAAGGCAGAGGTGAGGATGGAGGTACCCACGGATTCTCAGAAGAGAGAAGGAAGGGGCATCTTTAGGTTTCAGGTGGGTCTCCCTGCTCTGCAACCACTGTGCCCAAAGTGCCAAGGACGTATGGGGCCATTTTAAGTAAAGTATTAACAAACAGCATGGTCCTTCTCTTTTGCCACCTGCTCCCACCCTGCTTTCTGTATTGTTCTGTACCCAACTCAGACTGGGTTTCGAGTGGAGCACTATCTCCCCAAGTGGTTCTTGAAGTATTTTAGCTGCTGGTTGGGGGGTTGGGGGGGGAGAAGCCAAAACAGATTGCCTGACAATGTCTCACTTGTTGGTGCAAATGTGCACTTAAAAAAAAATGTACTCTTAATGACAAATCCTATTTAGTCTCCTTTTTTTCTTATATTTTTTGTTTGTTTCTTAAACCAGAGAGAGAATTTGACCCAAATAAACACTGTGGAGTATTGGATCCTGAGACAAAGAAACCTTGCACAAGATCCCTCACCTGCAAGGTATTTCTCTTTCCATTAAAAAACAAAAAAATACTTCCTGCTCTTGCTGGGGCCTTTGTCGAAATGTTTGCATGCCACTCTCTGTACACCGCAGGGTGTGGAACGTCAACATGACCCAGCTGTTTTTTGTAAGGGTAATGCTTTCTTCTATGGCCACGGTAGCATAGTGCCTGCCTCGAGCTGGCTGGCTTTTTAAGGGGAAGAAGAAAACAAAACAAAACAAAACAAAACAAAACAAAACAAAACAAAACAAAAAACACCCTAGGCTTCCAGTGTTACTTGGGAGGCCAGACAGTAAATTGTATTTATAGGCACTCACAGGCGGGTTCTAAAGCCTGCTACGTTTTAATATATGCAGGAACAGCGGTGACGGTGGCAGCGCCCAGAAAGGCAGCCCGGGGGTGGGGTGGGGTGCAGAGCTGCACCCTGATCTAGTCCCTCGGGATGACCAGGGGACAGGCGGACTCTAGGCCCCAGATTTCCTCCTGTCCTCCTAGTGCCTCTGGGGATCCAGGCTACTGTCCTGTTTGCCTGGGCCGACTGCAGCCTCCCATCCGCACCTGGATTGAGTCTAGCTTGCCCTCGCCGGTGTCTTTCATCTGAGGTTGTCCTGGGTTCTGCGCAGGAGCTGTCATCTCATGGCATTTGTCTGGAGGAAGTCTTGGCTTCTTAACACCTGGAGTGTAGGGCATGGTTGCGTTCAGTTCGAGCAGTGTCTGCCTCTTCCGAGCCACAGAACAGGAGCTGTTGCCTTGAGGTTGACTTTTTCAAGCACCTTTAATTACCTATGGTTATAATTTTGGAAATGCAGGCCGTGGGGAAGCAGGTGTATGTGCTGATCAAAGAGGCTGTGCTTCTCATCTCTCTTCTCCGTAGACACACTCTCTGAGCCATCGCAGAGCAGTCCCGGGCAGGAAAAAGCAATTTGACCTCCTCTTGGCAGAACACAAAGCCAAGTCACGGGAGAAAGAAGTGAAAGAGCACCTCCTGACTTCCGCTAGGGAGATACTTCCAAACCCACCTGGACTGGTGCCTGATGCTCTGCAAGGAACTTCCGGGAGCACAGTGGCAGAGCCTAAAGTACCATCCCCACCAAAATCCAGGCCACTCAATTCTGTGCTTCCCAGGTAAGTCGGCATGGGCAGCCCCAGCCCTCACTCTCTCTACTATACTAGGGCCTTTGTGTGTGGCCCTCGGGTGCTTTAATGAGAGCTTTTAGTTCAACCTCCCAAGGCTGGGTGAAGTTTAAATAAAGATCCCGCGCCTAAGTGGCTCAGCCCAGTGCCTGCCAGCCAGCACTCAACAGTTTTTACTGCTGTAGTCACTGTGGTCAGCCTTCCTAGCAGACCTTATATGAGACAGTGTGTGTTTACAAAGCAAGAGTGAGCTGGAAATAAACACCCAACGGGAGATTGGCACTTCAACCACCTGTCTGCCTGGATTTTATGTTATTTGAAGACTCCTTAGAGCAGAAGGGGGAATCTTGGGTAGAGAAGTAGTTAGAGCAACTTATGAACTTCCGGGACCACTCTTGCCCACTTGTCACAATTTTTTAAGACTTATTTTCGAAACTCCCCCGTAGTCAGGATGAAGGGGAAGTTGGTGGTGTTGAGGGTGAGTCACCTGTTTCGGGTTTCATTTGGTTGCACTGAATGGAAAGGAAAGATCAGGAAACAAAATTACAATCCATTTGGATTAAAAGCAATTTAAGATCTGTTTGTTTTGATGGGCAGGAGACCAATTTTCAGGTAACAGGACCAGAACTATCTACATGCATTCGAAAGTGTTTACTGAGGACTCGATCCAGAAGCAAAGTGCTGTCAGGCAAGGAGAGAGGGAAAAATGCAACCAGACCCTGCTTTCCAAAAACAGAGTTCAGAAAGCAAGACTCAAATGTTCATGCTTGGTATAAAAAGGAAATACTACTACTCACCAAGAAGTACAAATAGTGGTATTATCTGATTTTTTTTTAAATGAATGAATGTGTCCCAAAGGGTCATTGTTCAACCAGTAAGTAAGCTTTCAAAGAGCATCATTAGAAAAGAGCAGGGAGTTGGCTTTTAAAGCAAAAGTCTGTTTGGGCCAGGTCAAAGGTGGTAGTGCATGCCTTTAATACCAGCACGCAGGAGGCTGAGGCAGACCCATCTCTGTGAGTTGGAGGCCATCCTGGTGTATAGAGTAAGTTCCAAGACAGCCAGGGCTACACAGAGAAGCCCTGTTTCAAGAAACCAAACAACAACAATAGTAAAAAATCTATTTGGTAGCAGTTGTTCACCTGTTGCAGTTTGAGGGAAAATGGACCACTCTCACAACAGTCCCTCTGTAGTATGATTAAGTATGGCCCCAGGCATTTGGGAGCAGACAGCCTTAACAGTTAACTTAAGCTCCCAAAATAGCTGCCATCACTTCTATTTCCATCACTGTAGATGTTTATATTGTTGCAACCCCTTTCTTTGCAAGATCGTTGCAAAGGTGTTACCCTTGTTTTAGAGTTGAGAAGACAATTCAATTCCAAAATGATGGGTTTCAACTGTATAAGCAGTAGACCCCCATTCTCCATGACCTCTTTTAGATGCTTGAAACTGCAGATAAAAACCAAACCCTATATGTTTCTTCCTATACATGTATTCCTATGATACACTTTAATTTGTAAATTGGACACAGTAATTAATAATAAAATGAAATAGAACAATTATAAAAATATATTGTAATAAAATTATCAGCATTACTAATCTTGCCCTTTGGAACCATGATTAAATAAAACAAACTTTACTTGAATTCATATACTGCCATTAGTCTGAAAATGGCTGCTAACTGACTAATGGGGGCAACATATAAAGCATGGCTATATTTACAATGGATGACTCACATCCTGGAGGGGACAGAGTGGGACCACCCAGGGTTTCCCTATATTCCTCAGAACTGCATACACTAGGAACTTATGAACTAAACAATGCAATTTTCCATTTAATATTTTAGACCTCACTTGACCATGAGTAACTGAGACTGGAAAAGTGATATCATGTATGTATGTAGAGTGACTTTCAAATCCTTTGTAGCTTTTGAGCATATTTTTCATTACAACTCATCCTTCCACAGTACCTGATACTGGCAGACTGGCCCCTACCTGAAACCACCCAGAGCCATTATCTCCCAGAGGGTTCATGGTGGGTCCTCAAGAATTTCCCCAAGCAAAACCAATTTGATAGCTCTCTTGTGGGGGATGAGATGGGGGTCTCATGTAGCTCAGGCTGACTTCAAAATCTCTACAGAGACAACAAGGCTGACCATAAACTCCTTATGGTCCTGCTCCATCCTTCTGAGTGCTGATCATAGGCATGTGTCCTTTGAAGTCTGACTTAGTCGACTTTTTCATTAGACATTTCTTTAACAATTTCTAGCTAATGTAGGCTCTATTATCAGTGGTGTCTGAGTTAACAGAGAAGTAAGAGATAGCTGATAAAAAATAGCACAGGCAGGGAAGCCCCAAGAGATTTCTCAGTTTTGTTCCTTATGCTGTGAGTTTTAGGAGAATGTCCACTTGCAGGAAACACCAGGTTTTATGTTTTCTTTGGGAAGCAGGAGACCTGGATAAGCTTCATTTTGAAACACATGTCTTATAAAGAAAAGAAACAAAGTGTGGAAAGCTTGGACAGGGCTGGAGTCTTTCAAAGTGAATGAATGGGCACAAAACCCTTGGGTCAATGAAATTCTGTATATTCAGGTTGAAAAGGCATGATCAGAATTTAACACCAAAATCATACAAAACCTCCAAGAGCACACATTTACTCCTATTAATGATATGTGTGCATGTATATAATAGATATTTTATCAATAGATATCACATGTGAATGATTTTTTTTTTTTTGAGACAGGATTTCTCTGTGTAATAGTCCTGGCTACCCTGGAACTTACTTTGTAGACCACACTGGCCTTGAACTCACAGAGTTCCACCTGCCTCTGCCTCCTGGGTGCTGGGATTAAAGGTGAACACAAACATTGCCAGACTTGAATGAAACTTTTTTTTTTTTTTTTTAGTTTTTCGAGACAGGGTTTCTCTGTGTAGCTTTGGAGCCTATCCTGGCACTCGACTCTGGAGACCAGGCTGGCCTCAAACTCACAGCGATCCGCCTGCCTCTGCCTCCCGAGTGCTGGGATTAAAGGCATGCACCACCAACGCCCAGCCTTGAATGAAACTTTTATCATCCTTTCCAATCATGAATTCTCTTTACAGACAATGGTAACATATGTAACTTCTTATTCATCCTTTTGATGACCTTAACTGCAACCCATTCTTGTGAAGGATTGGTAAGAAAGGAGCATCATAACTTAAGTTGGGGTTGATGGTGTACACCTGTAGTCTCAATAATCAAAAGGATATTAAGCACTTAACACCAGCCTGAACTACATTGTGAGTTACAGCTTAAATTACATAACTCGAGTTGCAACAGGATTGACGCAGAATCCTCACCTCCATGCTTTCTGACTAGATAAACTTAGCCGTGGTTCGATGGCTAAGAGCACCTCCTGCTGCTCTGTTTTGGTTTTTTGAGACAGGGTACTACATACTTTCTATGTAGTTCTGGCTGCCCTAGGCCAAACTGCAGAGAGACAGGGCAAGAGTTCATGTATAGAGTGCCACAGGACAGAAAGCTGTCATCAAGAGTTTGTTTTTCAGCCAGACTGGCAGGTGAGAGGCCTGATATGATGCTGAGGACAAAGATTGAACAGCAAGCTTGAATCTTGAATGTAAACAATCTTGAATGCACGTTGACACTCTAGTCACTAGACTCTGGTGACTCCTCTTCCCACCACTCCTTGCCCAAGCTTTGTTTCTTCTGAGACACAGCTGCTTCCAGTAAACGCCTTCCTCCAGGTTCTACCTGGAGTTTTGTACTCAGTTAGAAGGCCCGAAAAATATCCCTATCCCTCATCCCCAGGAGGCTGCAAACAGACATACTGAGAGAAGTGTTGTCAGCGCTCCTGTGTGTGTGCGTGTCCACACACCACCTCTGCACTGCCTTCTTTCTGTGCTCAGAGTCTATTTGGCCAGTTCTGAGTCTTGTTCATCTCTTCTTTTTAGGAATTTCCTCTGTCTACCTGCTTCCATCTTTTATCTGGCAACTGGGACTTAACTACTGAGTATTTCAACCATCTTTTCTTTAATTAAACTTCATTTTTATCAGTTATATGGGTTCATAGTTCAAAAATCATCTCAGCTGTGCTGTTTCCTGGATCTTGCCACCTTCTCTTGTCTGCCTTGCTTCTTTGATAGAATAGTTCCTTCGGTGGCTGCCTGTGAGGTTCATGGGAGATCAGTTTTAGAGTCCTTACCCAGCAAGCACATTTTCATTCTGCATTAACACTGAATTGATGATCTCTCAGAGTAGACAACCAGATTGGAAATCATTTCTCTGCAGGACTTTGAAGACATTTTCTCATTGACTGCTGGCACAGGGAGTCTCTACCACGAAGTCTTAACAACCCAACTCCCATTTCTTTGTCCTGACAAGCTCACACCTCCAAAGTCTGGGGCACTGAAAGTTTTCAGGGTGTCTCTAATGTGTTCAATTGTCATTATTTATTTTTCCTGTTTGGAAAGTGAGCCTCACTGGACAGCCCAAGCTGGCTGTGAACTTGAGGGTTTCCTTTTCCTCTGCCTTAAGAGCATCATCATACCTCAGGCAGCAGACATCTTTCTTGCTATAGCTCTTTTTTAGTTGCTTGAAGTTGGTACTTGGTAGATCCATGCAATATGGAAATACCTGTCCTCTCCTGGGATGTTTTGCTTTTGCATCTTAGACACATTTCTCCCCACTATTGTCTGTATTTTTCTTTTTTGTCTTCTTAGTTGAATGTTGGGCATTTTTCTGATCTTTTAATTTCCTTTTTTCTTTAAATTCCTTGTTCTACTTTGTAACAGATTGTCTTTTTAGTTATTTCTAATTGCTGTTTGCTTGATTTTGTGTGTGAAGGAGTGCATATGTGTGTGTTGTGTGTGTGTGTGTGTGTGTGTGTGTGTGTGTGTGTGTATGTGGTGCTTGTGCGTGTATGTGGTGCATATGTATGAGTACTTGGAGGACAGATGGGACATCTGTGGCCTCTTCTGTTACTACTCACCTTGTTG